GGAAGCATTGTACACCCTGCCCTTGAGCTTGAGAGTGACATCACGACGACGCCATAGATGTCTCAGTTTGATGAATGCAAGGCGGGCCTTTGCAATCCGTTGTGAGACTTCATCTCCAACACCGCCACCAGCCGTGATGCAACTCCCTAGGTAAGTGAAGCAAGGGACTTGCTCCAGAACATGTCCAGCAATGGTGAGCGCGGGTTCAGGCACCTGCCAATCCTGGAGCAGCGTTTTACATTTTCCCGGAGTGAAGCACAGGCCGCACTTAGACGCCTCCATCGCCAAGCGGTCCAGAGCGTTCTGGACGGATTGTGGGTCGTCCCCCAGCAAGGCGATATCATCGGCGTAGTCCAAGTCCGTGAGTCTGTCTCCAGGGAGAAGCTCAACACCGCAGTCCTGGACACCTTCCAGTGCTCTTTGGAGAACATCTTCGATGGCGAAATTGAAGAGGAAAGGTGAAATAGGGCAACCTTGGCGAACACCGCTGGTCACAGCGAATGAAGAGGAGTGCGTGCCGTAAGCCCTAACTTTGCCCGACGTGTGACTGTAAAGTACTTTCAGGATGGTTACAAACTTGTCGGGCACACCTTTCTTCAGTAAACAGTTCCACAACGCAGATCTATCTACTGAATCAAATGCCGCTCGGATGTCCAAAAACACTACGATTGTTGGCCGCCGGTGGATGTGACGAAGTTCGAGAACTTGCCGAAGCGTGAAGATTTGGTCGATGCAGCCACGACCTGGACGAAATCCAGCTTGTTCTTCTCGGGAAAACTCCTCTCTAGTCGTTGAAAGCCTGCCAAGTAGGGCCGACACGAAGATTTTGGATGCGACAGAGATTAGGGAGATTCCGCGGTAGTTGCAGCAATCGTCGCGGGAACCCTTCTTGTGAATCGGGACAATGACCGATTCTCCCCATGAGCTCGGAACCTTCTCCTCAGTCCAAACTTTCGTGAACAGCGATAGGATTTCGCTGATAAGTGCACTCCCACCATCTTTGAACAGAGCTGGTGGTAGGTTGTCGGGACCCGAGGATTTGTGGCGTTTCAAAGATTGGACTACATTTCGAATCTCTGCTTCATTTGGGGGGGCTGTGGAGACAGGCCAAACATCATACATTGGGACTGGAGGTGTCGCAGGGGACTGTGTTGGGTGGTTGAACTGAAGAGCGAAATGCTCTGACCAGCGACTCAATCGTCTGCGAAGGTTGGTGATCTTCGTGCCGTCTGCCTCGCAAATCGTCTGGCTGATAGCGTGAAAATTGCAACCAGTGGCCCTGATGATGTAAAACAGACGGCGGAAGTTGCCAGCTGATGCAGCGGCTTCCATCTCACCAGCTTGTTTTGACCACCAAGATTCACGATCAGAGCGAAGGCTTGCTTTCAGCTGTTGCGTAATAGACCGGCGGTGTTCGTTGTACTCTGCGCCAGCAGGCACCGCCCGTCGACGATCCAGCAATTCTGATGATCTTCCCGAGATCCAGCATTTGGGAGTGGAGCGAGTGAGGCCACAGCTGGACAAACCGGCCGACAACAAGGCTTGCTGGAGACTTGACCAGTGTTGATCAACATCCAGAGTGTGAGAGAGGGAGCTTTTCGCGAAGCTTTTGTTGATAATCTCTCTTCACCATTGGGTCCTCCAACTTGTAGGCGTTCAGTCGGGTGTGTTTTGACCTAGGCGAACCACCAAAACGCATGCAAACGGTCGCACACACCAGTGCATGGTCGGTGTCGACGCACGTTGACCAAAATGATCGGCAGTCGCGTACACTGCCGCGCCACCTGCGACTTATAGCTATGTGGTCAATCTGTGACCAGCGCTGGGTTGATGATGGGGGGCGCCAAGTGGCGTACTGGCGTCCAGGATGACGAAAGCTGGTGCTGGAGAGGAATAGTTGATGATCAGCACAAAGACTGAGCAGTCTCCCTCCATTGTCTGAGCGAACATCATCATATCCATGCGGTCCTCCGAGGTGGCGCTCACATGGCAGCAGACGACCGACACGCGCGTTGAAGTCACCTGCCAAAACAATGATGTCTGTTTTAGGAGCCCTTAGGAGCAGCTCATGAAGGTTCTGGTAGAACTGGTCTTTGACGATGTCTGAGCTACAGTCAGTGGGCGCGTAGGCAGAGATCACGAAGAGAGCACGCTTTTCGACTCGACGTCTGCTGACCTTACAAGAGCCATGGAGCCTCATCGCACAAAGGCGGCTATTGATCGGAATCCAATCAATCAAAGCAGTCTCGGCTCTAGCGCTGAGGGCGATTCCAACACCAGCTTGCCCAGATGCGGCAGACTCGGCGTTACCAGAGAGGCGGAGATGGAACCGGGTGCGTGGATGGAGCGGTGACACCAGCTGGTAGACCGAGTTAGAGTCCTGGAGTCGTGTTTCAGTCAGGCAGCAGATATCAATTCCAAGGGTCTCTAGCGTGCGTGTAACTCCAGCTTGCTGACCAATCTGCAGTAATGTGCGTACGTTAAAAGCTGCAAGTTTGAACTGCGTTCCGGGTTGCAGGAGCGAAGATAGGCGACTTTGGGGCCGGCAACTCTCTGTTGAGTACTGTGTGGTTGAGTTGGCAGGTGTCACGGGAACAGGTTCATCAGTGTAGGTGGGATTGATCGTTGTAGAGGAATCAGGTAAAAATGGGTGTGAATGGGACACGGGAAGAGTAGGTAAAATGGTGGCGTGTGCTTGTGCAGTTGGCATAGTAACATGAGTGGATAGCATGGTAACAGCAAGACAGCGGGTGAAAGGTTGTGTTGTAAGTCCATGGTTCGTCAGTGGGCGAGATACTACCCGGTTGCCCAGGCCGAAGTAGAGGGTTGTCTTAGGGGGCCCCACCCCGAGCCTTTGATCAAGGATCTAACCTACAAGGCAGCAGGGCGATATGAGGGTATCGCAACCCGTTGGGAGCCGGTGACCAAACAAATGGTTCATACGCCTTTAGGACCGCATAGGACCAGGGGCCCAACGCACCCTTGAATTACAATGCCACTCAGAGAGAGGCAAGGGGCAGTGACTTTATTTAGTGGCGAGTCACATCCGCCACGTCACAGTGTTGTTAAGCGGACATATGTGGCTTTTTATAGGGAGAACGCTTGCCAGGCGAAAACCCACCACGTCCTGGAACACTGCCGCCGAACCATTCGCTGGAACGGGAAAATCCCGAACCACCCAGCTGGCACCACGAGGAGGTTGTTCGGCAAGCCAGCCATAGGGACGAAAGACATAACTTTGATTAAAACAAAGCAGAAGTCCTGGCACGAAGGGGGACACGCAAAGGAACTGAGTCCCTCGGAGCATGGTACTCGACGAAGCACTCGATGAACATGCGCATCTACTTTTACTCAGTTTACAAAACGTTAATATGGAGAGAACAAAAACAGCTTGAAAAGCGTCGTGGGCAGCCAAACGAGCCATCGAGAACACGGCCGCAACAGCCAGAGCAAAACCATCTTACGAATCGCCCGTGTCTATCAGAGAACTTGGGCATGCGGGTGAAGGTCACGGGGCACATATCGAGAAGATCAATTCAAAAGTCACTTGGTGGTCAACCACAAATCGACTACCAAATCAGCAAAGTGCATTTGACTCAGTAGTGCACTGCGGAACTTACCTCGTTTGGTGATGAAACGTTTGCATAGCAATTACGAAACCCGGCGATTAGGTGAAACAACGAACGATCAACTCGAGCTACCAGTGTATCAAGTTATTTTAAACTGACCAGCTCTTCCATTGGGGCCGCCGCTGTGTCACTTTTTTAACGCAGTCACATTTGTTTCGCTTTATCGCACATTAGTAGTGACGGGATCAGACGTGTGGAACTCAAGTTTTCTTCCGGTCTTTGAGTTTTGCAGATATCACACTGGAAACGGGGGCAACATGAGGCTGAAAGTAAGTTCAGTAGCCGGTGGCTATGCATAGAAAGCGACGCACACAAGGTGAAACGAAATGAGCAAACCTTCTCACCCATCGAGCATACGCAACACGATGGTAGCTTTTAGCAGAACTACACCCCCGTCAGGACGGCGCTTGTCTTCTGACACTCTTAAGTCTCATTGGGCTAGCCTGCTATATATTTGATTCCACAAATATTGTCTGTTTGTGCGGTAGTATTTCCCGCGCTGTTCTCCCAACCAGCGGTTATGGTACGTGTCACGACACCGAATGGGATCTCATACGGTGGAACTGGGTGAGTCCAGAGGCAGGATGGCTGCGGCAATCCCGAGGCATCTACTGAACACTGGATACCAGGTCAACCCAAGTGACTCATTCGCTGTCCTCATGCGTAACCAAAGGCCGCATTTACTCAAGCTACTTGAAGCCATTGTAATCGATTGCGAGCGGCCGCGTCTGTGCGTACAGAAGCAGTTTACAGTAACATTGAGCCTGCCGTGGTAGTTTCGCAGTAATAGTTGGCCATCAGCTGACCACCAAATTGACCGCATCCGACCTTGCTTGTTTTCAAAGTGTTAGTTGCCTGTACGTGACTGAGGAGATAGGCACGAAATGAACGGGTCATCTCACAGCTTATGGCTTCTGATATTTCTGTTTAGATTAATGCATATTCGCCACAATCGGAGCTGGAGGCTACATGATGCGAACCCGAACGGTTCCCAGATGTGAACGACTTCCGATGATGCAAACAAAGGGGGCGGCTTTATGTACATGCAATTTTCCGTATGAAGTCAATGTCTGCTGTCAAACGTGCAATGGCATGGTGATGTTACCTAGACACTACACCAATTAGTTAGCCAACATGAATATTCCTTCTGTCGCTCACTGTACATGCGTCTAGGTAACACGACAATGACGAGAATGAATCTTGTTCATCATGTTTCAACGACGTATTTTGTTAGTACTCAGTACATCATCAGCATCTTTGTGATTTGTGGTCCTTTTTTCATTCTGATTTTTGATTCCATTTTGACCACATAACTCCAATCCCCAAACATCCCATCGAATATTTTTTCCGAGATTTATTTTCTCTTTGCAGACATGGTACATGACCCAAACGCGAATGATCAATGACTGGCTCACAGAACGTAAAGGAAATGCTCTGAGTCCATATCAATTTACCTGTCTATCTACGATTATCAAGGTGAAGTGTGCTCGAATCGTCCGCGTTTTGTGCTTCTGTTCCTCATATTTTTCTTGCCTAATTGTTTTGTTGGAAACAATCCGATAGGTTTGTTTGGACAAAAATACCAGGTTGTATTCACACAGCGTATTGTTTTATTTCTCCGAGCCCAGTGTTCGACTACCCCGTGTCAAAGTCGCGTCTCTCACTGACTCATTCTGGACGTTGCGCAACATCGATGTGATTAATTGACTTAGGTTTACTGAACGTTGCGGGCACCGACTGCATTGATTTGGGACCTTTTCACCAGAACCAGGAAGGTATCTAAATTTTCCGCATAACCCAATGCAGTCGTTCCGATTGATATTGATCATAATCCGGGTTTGTTTCTTTCTGGTAAAATTAGCGAATCAAAAATTACGATTCGCGATTTTTGCAGAGGATATCTTGGAGGAAGAAGCAGTACATCTAAAGGACCCGTTCGCAGTGTATATCACCAATAAATAAGTCGCCTTGATTTGATCTGTCCAGTCCACTTAGCCAATTATTTCTCTGTAGCAATCGATTTACCGGATCATAAATTTTAACCTATGCTTTTGCGTTTTACGCTTCTAAGTGCCCAATTGTTTTTTCCCTATTTACAAATCAGTCTCCAAATTTTATCGATGGCAATGGTAGTTAGCTCCTAATAGAAGATGACTGTAGGCGACCCATTTTCAGCTTTTGATCACATTCACTTTCTCCATGTATCTGATAACCACCGATGGACGCACCTTCTATATGCCATTTGAAGCATGACTGGGTGTCTAAACTCATATAGCAGCGGGCACCGGGACATAGTGAGACATAGTATGAAACACGACTCCCCATATATACAAGAAATAACAGTGATAAACTATCGTCACCGCTTTAGATACTACCGAGAACAATGCATACGTTAACACACACCACGTTTCCACCATACTTTAGTGAAATACGTTTAGATGACAGAAAGCTAATCTATTCGGATCTGCCACCACCGATCAAGACATTTTCAACCCATGACGTTTGCTGTGTCAAAGAAGCAGAGGGGGAATGTGGATAGACTCTAGAGACTTCTGTTGGACAGGAGGAGGAAGCACCTCCGCCGCAGGCGCATAATACGGGTTGCACAGAACGATCGGCTACGCAGCTGACCATTGCGAGTGAACACGGTTTGTACGAGGAACTCTTTCCATACTTGGAACGTGTCATTTTCTGACGCACGACCATGCTTTTGCACGAGTACTAAATGCGCGTACAACTACTTTTCTTTAAACACACTCGTCGCTGTTTGAAATTAACTAAACTGTGATTAAACGAAATAGTATCAGGTAGGTATATTCAACACTGTTGTCATCATTTGATGCTGAATTAAGAACTTTCAAGTATATAAACCCAATTCTGCCATTATATACGGAATATTATGCTTATCCGGTGGTCATTCGGATTAGATTTGCAATCACCAGTGCGCATCTTTCGACGCCAATGATGGGTTTTACTTTCTACCAGCTCCTGCTACCTGCACTGAAGATGCCATCTCGAATAGCGGCGAAACGTTCGCACTCAAGTTGCCCAGCTCGGCGAACACCATAACAACTGGATTGATATTATGTTGCCGCGTTGCAACTGGTAGACGCACTGACGACTCGTACGAGACCAAAAACCATTCTCTGCACCAATTTGGTAGTCCAAATGTTGCTCAAACCATTAATCACGCTGGATCTATCGGACACGGTATTTGTCCACCGAGCAGATTAGCGTGCATTATGAATTTGTGTAATAGTTCAAGTTGGTGGATATTGGGAGCATTAAGAATCTGCCGTGTAGGATGCTCCTAAACTTATGTTTTCGACTTCGGTCGCGATGGTTCAGCGTCAGTCCATCCACACCCAAGCTGTTCACTTTGATCGTCTACTTACACCACAGCTACTCCACAAAAATACAGTAGACTTAATCAAAGCACCAGCACTTTTCATTGACACCGCTAGTCTGTCAGCTTGCTGTCCTGCCTTAGAATATGTCCAAATCCACATCTTTTTGACAAATCTTGCCCCATTGTACAGTTTGTTCGAAAGTGATTTCGTGATTTACATTGCAGAAAATGTACGCGGATTTTGAACTGCAAGGGATCAGTCCGGATGCTCTTGATACAATGGCGTACAAAACGGTCACACAACGGTTACAGGTAAGACGACCTTTTTTCATTCTTTACAGCTTTGCTGGAACATCATCTTGCAGAGGAAAAGTAATGCGGTGACGCATGCACGCTTGCAGCGGCTCTATGCGGAATGAATGCTGTCGACAACCGCTCCATCTGCATACACTAAGTAACCCCTGGGATGGGGCAATGCAACAAGTCTCACGTCTTCTGTTTAAATAAGTCTTTAAATGTGCACTAATCCAGCGCTTTTCGCCAGCTGATTCTTGCGAAAGCACGAGTTAAATTTTCAGTGAAAATATACTATGACAGGTTTTCTCAGGAAGTCTTAGGAAAGGCGCAGTCTGGAGCCAACAAGGTGACATCGTTGTTTCCATGTTTGTCAACACATTGTGTGAATCCATCTCTATCATTCCGTTGGAGCAGTTATTAACGGCTAAGTGGTACTCAGTCTCGGAAGTTAGTGAGCGGGCACCAATCGATCCACTGAACTAGAAAATTAGTACAAAGGAGTGTCTGAAGCGAGACACGGCTCTCGTAGGTGTGCAGGATCGGCTGCCTGTGACATTGTTGAAGCTCTGCTACGAGATGACTACTGTCTTGACCGAATTGATCCATAAGCTGATGATATGGCCCCCTTTACTAACACGGAAATTATTTTCCAGCTAACTGCGACAGTGTCTGTTAAAACAAACACAGTGAATCGGCGCTATTACAGAGAATAACTTGACCAAAACCTTCACAGGAACTCCGAAGACGATTCTGTGGCATTACAGCACCATTTTCGCCTTCATTTTAGTTGGATGCATCAGAACCACGGTGTTTGAATGGTAGATCAGTGTCGCGGATCGATTCGATAGCGTACTGGGACCGTGGGTAGTCAGTGCGATCTAATTCTTTCGCTCCTAAAAGCTATACTACATATTGTTACATCAAAACTGTTTTTCTCGCCTTTCAGATGGAAGAAACCGCACAGGCCATGCGACCCGATTCCCATTCCAGTCCTTCACGCTCCATCTTAGACAGCATCACGGGTGGCCTTACCGGCCTGAGCGGCGGTTTCACCAAGACTGGATTCCTGGGCAAGAGTTGATCTGCCCACTACCTGGTTGCATGATCTGACAGTCAGTCTTTCGCGCATTGCAACCACATTTACGCACGGATACGCCTGAATGAACACCGGCAACATCTATTTCGCTCCACAGTTCATTCGTATTTCTCAAGCACAGTTCGAACACTGGATGCATTCAAAAATGATTGACCAATGGAGTGTACTTTTTCAAGCGTGTCTACACCCCGTGAACACCAATCACGCTTCATTGCCTCGCATTTATCGCGGTGCCGCCGATACCCCGCTCTGTACATCCTTTTCTTATATACACTTCGACCATATTGGTTTGCACTTCGCAAATCATTTCAGCGCCAGACCAATGCGTGTGCGCCATCATTTCTTCGATGCTTTTGTCTTCGCCACTTTGGTATCACCGATTTTTGAGAATGCGTCTCCCTTAGATCATGTGATCCCATTATTTAGGCTTTCTGTCATCCTTATTTCCGGTTCAGGTGATATGGAATTTATACCTTCATCAATTGTGCGTGCTGTTTTCAAAATTTACCCCAACTGTCTTATTTCCCTTTATACCCAGATGCAATTGTATCACTGCCAGGTCGCGTCCATCATTGAAAACATTGCTAAGCATTTGTAGAACATGTATTAAGATTGCATTTATCATACTTTGTTCTTTGAATGTAAACGGAATCAACGCCAAAATGGACCGGGACTTAATGCAGAACGACTAGTTTTGACAGTATAATTGTCGGATTCAGCTTGTGTGCATCTCGTAAATAACAGTCATTTACAGAATATCATGAGTATCGTCCTCGAGAAAGCCCTTCGATAGCATTCCGCGCCTTACGGCATAATTCAAGCGCGGAATCCATCCCATGCGTAGAAGACGAAGAAGTTGGGATTCTTATATTGGGAACAAATTTTTATTTTCGGCTAAGCGAGGCACGCCCGCACATGCATCATCATGATAAGAGCGCCACAGGTGATCAATGAATGTACAATAGGATTGTCATTAGATTGTCATAAATGTTGATACATGAATGTATTTATGTGTCCGTGTGTAGCTGTGTTCCTTTGCTTTGTAAAGGTTTTGCTGCACCTTTGCTTGTGTCTGAATGTGTCGCCAATAATAAAGGGATGTTTGACGTCCGTGGAGTTAAAACGATTGTACGGATGCGTATGACTTTAACTACATGCAGCCATCCATAAAGGCTGGGCAGTTCAATTAACTTGAGTTAGGCTAAACGGTTGAGGTCGGGCGCCAAAAGGAAGCACATAGTAATGCAAACATCTGTGCTCCAATCCTAGTGAATGGCATGATAACCAAAATGGTACAGCCCATAAAAGTTGTTCTCTGCTTAAGAATGGATTCAACTATCGCTAAAAAAAACAACTATATACGCACTTCTTCGCCTAGACGTCCTATTGCACTGTCATACTGTACTATATTTAGTTATCTGCTCGCATGCCCTAAAATAGCCCAAAATCCGTGTTGTTCCGCTACGGCGTTGGAAATCCGGTGGGGTCACCGGGCAGGTGCAGCGAATCGTATCAACAGGACAACGATAACACTGGTTTGGAAAACGAGTCGGGGTGCAACTATACCGCTTCGCAGGCATGTTAACTCATTGTACAAAGCTTTTAGCGTGACATTTTTTCGAAATCGCGTGCTGTGCATTCAAGTTCGCGAGCCAGAAAACGCTGTTTTGGCCTCTTTGACATTCACATTGCACATGGGACATCGGATGGGAGCCCCGAGCATAAGCGACAGACAGTACAATGAAAGTGGTCGAACACCACCTTCTGTGCTGCCCGGATGCGCGCCTGAAAGAAACCCCGATGATTCCTCTCCAAACTGAAACCGTCCAATGGGCAACCTGTGATGCCTGTCTAAGGAGGAGATCCTAGCTACCACATGATCCGAAGCTTACGCCGTAACCAGTGTGGAAGAATATGCAAACCACCACATGAAGCGGTCTGTACTTATTGATCGCTAGTCGCTATCCGGTAGTGACTTATTTCAGCGGCCTAACCATGATTACGATGGTGTAGACAGGCATTCTTCTAACTGGTATTCCGCAGTCCCTTAGGTCTGAGAGAGTCAGCTAAAGCTGCATTTGCGGTTGGTCAGGCCTGCGCCGTGGTTAGGACACTGCACACTCTAAGCTGAATCAGCAATGACTGCTAGTCGGTTGGACAATTTTGTGCGATTATTATTGCGACGACCATGGGGGACATTGTTCCCATTGAAGTAGTGTTATGGGACACGGACACGATCAAAAGTCACGATGGCGGCGGGCGGAAAACAGGCGTTTATTCAGTATAGGGTAGCCTATTTAAAAGAAATAAACACTGTTAATCTTCGAGCCTTCTCAGTGGGTCTTCTGTTTTTCGGTTCACCTCATTGGTCGCGTTCCCCTTTTATTTCATTGGGTTATGTTATTCCTCTTCAGTCGCTGTCTTCCTGTCTCGCGCAATGATCACATCTTTCGTGCTTGGCATCTGATTGGCCGTATTTCTTTGGACCGCTCATATTTGGCTTTGCACTCTGAAACTTGCCGTTAATAGCGATTCTCGAGTTGCCAGTGCGCCCTCTACGTTCTATTGTCCAATCCGGTTTGTCGGTTTCTGGATACGTGTGCCACTCGTGATTCGCTGTCCAGCCATCGCTGTGTATCCCGGTGGGTTCACACGTTCTCTCGATCGAAGTGATCTGCTGACTCCGGTAACCTGCGCTTAGGTGGTAAGGTCGAGCATACTGGACCGGTTTCCTAAACCCCGTTACATCCTTTTCCTTTTGTTTTGTTAGGCTTGCGCCGCAGTATGTCCCATACTGCTTTCCGCTGCGTGTGAGTTTCCTTCCTTCTGCTAGGGTGACGCGTATCTGTCTTGGCTGCCGTTGTCGGTTTTCCATTTGGGTAAAACGCGTACAACCTGCTTTCCGGACCTGTACTCGGTTCCGCTTAATTGTAGTGCCCCCAACCTTCACTTCGTAGCTTCTCTCTCTCTTGCGGCTCTGAATAACTCCATTCCTCCAATGTCCCTCTGATACTGGTACTGGTTGCACCCACACTTCTTCTCCCACTGCTAGAGGTTGGAATTTTCTCGCCCCGCGATCGTAGTATTTCTTTTGCCTAAGCATTCTGTTTCGTAACCGCTCGTGTATCGAGGTCGCTGGTGATACTTCAGGTGTCAGCAGATTTGACGCAGTTGGTATCAACGTTCTTGTCCTCCGGCTGAAGAGTCGCTGCACCGGACTTGTCCCAATTTCTGTTGATGGCGTGTTTCTGCGTTCCAGCAACATAATATAAGGGTCCTCCTGAGTCTCCTTAGCTTTGGTAAACACCTTCTTTGCTTCTTTTACCGCCGACTCGGCCTTTCCATTTGATTGGCTGTGATATGGGCTAGTAAGCCGGTGATGGAAATCCCACTTTCTGCTGAACTCTCGGAACTCTGCGCTAACGAACTGCGGCCCGTTGTCCGAGACTACTACCTCCGGTATTCCGTGGCGAGCAAATTGACATCGTAGCTTATTCACCACTGCGTCTGTACTGGTCGTAGCAAGAGCATCGATTTCAAAGTAGTCACCGAAATAATCAACCAACACTAAGTAACTTTTTCCATCGTGGATGAAGATGTCTACTGCAACCATCTGCCAGGGCCTGTCCGGAACGTCACGGAGCATCATCGGTTCTTTTGACTGACGTACGTCGTGTGTTCGGCATGCCAGACAATTTGAGACGTAATCTCGTATTTGGCTGGTCATTCCCGGCCAAAACATTAGCTCTCGCGCTCTGGCCACACAATTGTTGACTCCCAAATGTGCATAGTGGACAAGCTCTGTCATCGCGCGCTGCAACGCTTTGGGGATTAGTATCCTATTGCCTTTGAATATCAACCCATCTTGGACAATGAGTTCATCACGAAAATGGAAAAACGGGGTCAGCTCTCCTGATAGACCTTCCTTGTTCTTGGGCAAGCCACTTAGTATTGTCTGCCTCAGTAGCTTGCATAACCCGTCTTCCTCTGTGCACTGCTAGAGCTGTTTCAGTCGCTCCTCGTTAACAGCTACTAGTTGTGCTGCATGAACGAAATCTGAATCTTCGTCTTCCTTTGGAGTGTCTGACAGATATGTCCTGGATAACATGTCTGCGATTTGCATTTCGGGACCAGGTCGATACACAATCTCTAGGTCGTACTTTTGAAGGCGAATAAACATTCTCTGTAAGCGGCGGGGAACAACATGTAGCGGCTTGTTGGCGATGGAAACCAACGGTTTGTGATCTGTAAACACTGTAGTCTTCCGGCCAAATGTATAGTCATTAAAACGTTCGACGGCGTAAACCACTGCAATCATCTCTTTTTCTATCTGGGCGTAACGACGCTCGGTCTCTGTCAACGTCCTACTGCGAAAATCGATGGGTTTCCCATTCTGCATAAGTACGGCCCCGATACCAAATTGACTGCTGTCGCATTGAATCTCGAGGGAGAGTTGCGGATTATAGTAGGCGAGAACAGGTGCGTTAGTGATGAGTTCCTTGATTGCCTGGAAGGCCTCTTCTTGTTCTGCACCCCAATGCCAGCTTTCGCCCTTATGAGTCAACTTCCTGATCGGTGTCATAACATCAGCTAACTTGGGCGGGAACCGGCTCAGATAATTGATCATCCAATTTAGCCTGCCAACCGCTTTCACATCTGTGGGGGACAGCAAATCTCTTATAGCTCTTACTTTCTCAGGGTCTGGTTTTAGCCCTTCCGCGCTTAACACATGCCCATGAAATATAACCTCTGTACTGCGTAGTTCGATCTTTTCGCTTTTCAGTTTGATGTTTCTTTCAACACATCGTTGTAAAAAGCTACGAAGGCTCTGATCGTGCTCTTCACGAGTAGCGCCAAAAACCAACACATCATCCGCTACGCAGAATACTACCTGTAGACCGTCCAACGCTTGCATTCGTCGCTTCTGGAAGATTTCGCTAGACACTTTCAGTCCAAACGGTAAACGAAGCCAACGGAACCGCCCG